ATCAGATGATGCGCCAAGATCCCCGATTTATGACCTTTCAAAGCGCGTACCTCAACGAGATTGCGAATTTCGACCTCCAGAACGCGTTCCTAGAAGAAGAGAAGGAGAGCCAGCTGTTTCGGCTGTTCGCACACGTCAGCCTCACGCGCGATCCTCGAGCTACGGCAGACATGGTGCCCGACGAAGTCTGGGCCAACCTGGCACCAGACCCGGAAATCGTCGAGCTCGAAGAACAACGCGCACAATTGAAGCGGGGCAAGTACCGCATCGAAGGCCATGAGAACGAGGACGAGATCCGACAGCTCACCAACAAAATCCGAACGAAGAGGGCGTACCGCGAAAAGCAGGTCGTCAAAGAATACCGCGAGGATTACTTCTACCACCGTCCCACTTGGGACATTGAGCAGCAGGCACGGGGCGAGGAAGAGGAGGAGTACACAGAACCTGTCATCGATGTGCATATACCAGAACGCGACCGGCTAGCAAATATTCTTTGCCATCAGCCGGATGGTCTCACGGAGGATCAGGTTCTCGAACAAAGGATCGAAGCTATCCAACTCATGGTGGCTCTGTGCGACAAACGCGAGACGGTCAAGCGTCATCGCGTCCAGCAAAATGTCAAGGCTCAGGCTCAACCGCACATCAAAACCGAACCTAGCGAAGCGGGCAGTGAGCCTGAGCCTAGCCTCAATCAATTTCCTCTCCTCATGCAAGCCGGACAATGCCCGGACTGCATCGGCGACGAGCGGCTCTCCCTCGAGGAGCGTACTTTTTCGTACTGCCGTCCGACTGTCAGGAACGACCACTTCGATGACCAACACTTAGTCGAGCGTGAAAGAGCGCTGCAACGTGGTGAGAGAATGGTGTGTACACACCCTGCTTGTCGAGTTCAGAACCAAGGTCAAGATCTTGAGTTTCACAACATGGATCACTTTCGGGTCCATGTTCAGACGGTCCATCGTGTGACGCTGCGGTCGTCGTGCCAAGTGGAGCAAAGGCGGTTGCGCAAGGTTAGGTGTCGCAAGATGGTCACGGAATAGCCTTCACAATAGATGTGGAGTTATAGGCGCAGTCAACAACGACTGACAATGGAAAGCGAGTGTAAAGAGTTTCTGACTAGAAAATAGTCCAGTATAGTGTTTTCATCTATATATTTGCAAACTTCATGAAAGACCTAAACTGTTCATCATCAATAATGATTTCACTGCGGCGGCCATGACCCCGATGTACATCGGGGTTGGGCCAGACTGAGTGTACGATGCTACCTAGTCCCTTTTCCAGGTTCGTGATGGCTATAGAGTTCCTATGCATTCTCGCGAAGAAAGGATATGGGTATATAAACTCATGATGCTGACTCCTGTCACCAACGATGATCTCTATCAAGAAAGATCGTGATTATTTTACATTTTACTCGGATTGGCCTCTGATACTTTTATCATGTCCTTAAATCAGCTTCCTCCTTCCCCTGGGCCGCCACCTAATTGCTCCCTGCCCCCTGCCCCCTGCACCAAAGCAAGGCAGAAATGCTACATACAGCTCGAGGCCAACAATACCCATCATAAAGAACATTGAAGCAGGTCTTCAATAGTGAGTATGGCAGGCGCTTCAAGATGAAGTTTTCAGGTACTAACGAACAACGACGTTGGCAGAATTATGTTTGTACAGTTGTACGTTTCTCGTTCATGCTTCTCGTTCCTGTTCCATGCGGTTGAACACGGTGGTGGGGCTGGCACAGGATTTTGGCGCTTCTGGAGCGTATCAAAGCTAATGGAACTTTCGAGTGGAATGATCATCCCCCTGATCTTAAATTTGAGTCAACAATGATGCGCGGTTATTGAGCAGAGACATGGTTTCTGCTGGCGCCGGTCGCTTTTTGTGATAGAACTAATATTGGGGGAGACTAAATTTAATATTTGATTGTGTCTTTTAGCATACTTCAACACCCATCGTCCAAGCCGAAAGTGCAAAGATTGCTAGAGATAAAAACCTCAAGATATCCCATCACACTCTCTCACATCCAGGCGATTCTCTGTCTTCGTCAGCATGTCAATCGCCCAGCCGATGAGTGATGTGCCAGCCAGTACATCCATACACAAGAGCGAATCAAAGCCTTCGATTACGGTGCTTGCAGAGGGCCTGGTTTCAAACAACATCAGGAATCTTTTCATAGAAAACTTAGAGTCAATCTACGATGTTTGGGTGGGCATGCTACAAAAGTCCACGTTGCCGTCCAGTATGGCATCCAATGACCCCCGCATCAGCCTTGTACTTCAAGACTTGGCAGAAGAATCTGAGAACACAGATGTAGCGCTTTCGAGACTCGCCTCGGTTCAATTGGTACGGTTAATGAATTCTTTACAAAGCCGGGTAAAATCCGACCGTCGAAGTGGCAGGGTCGTCCTCGGAAAGAGGGCTGACAGCATCACGATGGACATGTTTGTTAGCGCTCTCGGTTCAGCTCAAGGAAGGACCGTCGCTCGACGTCAGGCATTTTGGCGTCGGCGTATCCACAAGCGGCTGGCGAGTCTCGCAAGGAATGCACCACTTCTCATTATTACTCACACTGCAAAAGCAGAGCGGATTATGTAGGTAGCCGCCCCGAACAAAAAGAAAAGTTAAATTATAATTAATTCACGCCTCACAAGTCGAGATTTGAATGTATCCAACAAGACTTTGGATGAACTTGCAGACGAAATTTACGGCAGGTACCCCGCCGAACTCATCCAGGCTGCAGAATACATGACGCGGGTTGGAGAGTCGGGGAAAGAGATTGATGCCGCAGAAAAGAGGGTCCACTTAGAAATGCTAAGGGACATGGTACGCCGTTGACACGTAATCTATATGGCAGTAGAGGCTATGGTCGTGGCTGTGGTGGCTATGATAGTGGTCGTTATGGTGGTCGTTATGCAGGCTGTGTTGATGATGGTTGTGGCTGGTTAAGAGATAGCAAAATAAATGGGCCCTTGATCATCCTCCTTGATTGTTCCCGTGAAATCCCCGAGGTACCCATCACGGTAGACACCATGATAGACACCATGATAGACACCATGATTAACAACGTGGTAGGCATCGCATGGCCCCAATTTTTATTAAAGACGGCTCAAAAACAGTTTCTTTCAAACTAGGGTAGTACGCCTACCATGTTCCTTGGACCTCTACCTGCATCCACTCTGTAGGGCCTGAAGAACTTGTTTCTCTGAAATGGCAGAAGTTGTCTCGCGTGCTCATGACCTGGTAGGTGTTGAAGGAACAGCCTGACCTGATTTGACAGCTGCTTGCTCTAAATATAACCTACCCATAAGCGCCAAAGTCTAGCGGATGTCAGGGTGGGGTTGCCGTGTCTTGTGATGAGGGATTACTGGCAGCCGACACCTTTGTAACCGCGCAAAACTGGAGCGAGCAAGAAATTGACGTACTGGACTTCGTTCTCCACTCTAGAAGCTTACGCCATACGTTAAGCAATTCGTGACTGGTATCTGAGGTCTCTATTTAAGCACTAGTGATGTTAATTTTCGGCCGTTACTGGTAACTTATTCTAAGTTTAGGCCTACAGTACTGGTAAACCCTGAGACGCACTGCCATCGCCCGCCACGTTACCAGTAAGTAGGCCTCGTATTGGTTACTGGTCAGATCTCGCCAGCGGCTACGTAAATTACCAGTAAGGTGAGCACCTTACGTTACTGTCAAGCCATCATTACTAGTAATCACGGCTTTGCTATTACCAGCCACAATTCGTTACCAGTATTCACAAGGGTGGGGTTACCTGTAGCTTAATCTCACCAGTAACAGTACAATGCTTAATTACTGGTAACTTTTCCCTTTCCTGTATCATTCATACTAGTAAGCGCCCTACTCTGAGATACGTGGTTACTGGTATTTTACGTGGAACAGGACCGTGCGTACCAGCAAATAGTGCGGATGCGCCTCTACGGTTGCTGGTATTGTAAAGGCACTTACGCCCCCGCTTCTCTGATCCAGCTTACCAGTACGCTAATGTTTTGAATCACAAAGAGGGGTTACTGGCATCTCCATGCCGCTATTCGAGTTCGTGACCAGTACTATGTTACATAAGCGACATCGTCAATAATCTTGATTATCAAATTCGTCTCATGATGAAAAGGTTTACCTTCTTGAAACGTTTCTATCCTTAGTCAGCATAATGACACGCTGCTAGTACATGCAGTAGCAGACAGAGGTGGCATGAAGTAAGAGAGCGCAAAGTAGATACTGGCAGCAGGAAGGCAAAAAGGTAAGGAAGAATATTTGTTTATCCTCATAAGTTTTCCTCTGCTAGCAGCAGCGCTAGATTAACGATTATCCAGTAGCGGAGGCGTAATGAAGTAAGAGGAATTACTTTCAGCTACTAGTAGCGAGATGAATCGGCATGTTTGATTATCCCCTAAACTTTTGTCTACTCGTAGAAGGGCCAGATTGATTATCTCCGTAGGCCGTAAGCATTCCTCTACTAGTAGGAGGAAGCCCAGGAATGCTTCATTATCCTTATAAGCTTCCCTCTGCTAGTAGCAGAACCAGATTACCCATTACCCTGCAACCCTTTTTAGGAACTAAGATAACGGCTTATGGGGGTCAGCACATTGGCTGGCTACTAGTAGCTGATGTGCAACGTAATAAAGCAGATGGCATTACTATTTGCCTACTAGTAGCAAGGTACAATAAGAGGTAGGTTTGCTTCTATCTACTAGTAGAGAAGGTAGATTGATTATCTCTGTAAGCGAATCAGCCTAGGCCTACTACTAGTAGAGGGAAGCTTATGGGTGCTGTGAGGGGATAATCAGAATGGATTATGGAGCAAGGAGTAAGGTTTTTCTTTAGTAGTAGCGGAGGCGTGACCGAGGTAATCAATACAGCAAGCAGCTTTGAGTGCTTCCTTTGTAGCGCGGAAGGCTTACAGTATTAGTAACCCCCTAATCAAAATCATTAAGAACTACTTCATCCTCTTCGCTGACTTGGTCTGTGGCCAGCAGCTACTTTCAAACCATCTACGATCGGACATATGTAACGATGATCGCAACGGATGCTGCAACAACTTGCGCGAATGCAAAAGCAGTCCCCCAATCTCCCCCTACCCCCCTCCAGAGTACTAGGCTGAGCCAAATGGAGGCAATTCCAAACCAAGCACATGAGACTCTGAACGGCAATTCTATATGCATTCGGTCGGTCTGCCATCCTAAAATGAAGTGTATGCCTCTCATCCAGGCTGTTCCCTGGAACTTTTGATATGAAAGAGGCAATACGACTTGGCTCGAACCCCTAAGGAAGTCAGAATATGATTTCTCGAGAGGGAAAGGATGAAATAAGACGCTATACATACTTGATGTCGTAGATGCAGCTCTCTTGCGCTAAACCTTCTAGCGTATACAGCCCATTGGCTCTTGCTGGGTTTCGGGCACACTCCTTTAGATGAGACAGGAACAGAAGCCGCTTACGACGCTGCTCTGCCTCCTCTGCTTCGACCTTGATACAAGGCTGGGACCATTCCTGCATACCAATCAGGCATTGTTCACTATGCTGAGAGTCGTTTAAGCATGCATCGTTGAGATCGAAGTACGGATCGGTCGGATGCCTTGCTATTATCCTTTCACATTCTTCTGAGACAGTTTTGAGGTCGATTGGGTTCATGCGAATGGGGCAACGACCATCTGGCTCGACAAAACCGGCAAATTGAAACTATGTTTCTAATATCGTCAAATCTCAGCTCTAACAAGATGTATTGAAGCTTACGTTTACCTCCAGCACTTCGGTGATTCCGAAGTAAGGCAACCATCTCTTCCACCAACCCAGATGCTGATAACATGTATCAATTAATCTCTGGTAGATTTCGTCATCAGATTCGCAAGCACTGTCCCAAGGCAATGTCTCCTCGTATATTGGTTTCGGATCGCCAGTGCAGTCCCAGTTCCTAGTACATCCGATAATGCGGCTGGCCTTCGTCGATCTTCGGCATGGTACAAGAATAGCGTACTGTCCTTGGTTGTGGCTCTCTAAGCAGAGGAAACAGCCTTGCCCCGCACGTTCTCGCAAGTCGGGCATGTCTTTGGACTCCTGTGGGTCGACCTGGCGTTCGACATCTTGCATATAGATCGTAGAAGGCATTTCGAATGAGAGCAAAAAGTAGTAAAGTACTAGTTTGGAAGATGGCCCCTTTTGTATAGCGTTTTGAGATGATAATGAGCATGAGAGGACTCTTATTTGTGATTTACAAACTGATGCCTGGGGCGGTGCATGAATCTAGGTCGTGGCTCGACGTGATTCGATGTGGCTTCGCATGGCTGACACGTCGCATTCTACCAGGTTTTCCCGCATATCCCGCTACGAAACCTGGTCGCCTGGTGAGTTTGTCGCCTTCTCTGACTGGTCGGTGCTTATGGCAGCCTTCAACTTGCGTCCCTAACTCATTTTGCCTTAAGGTATCTTATTGCAGAGCACCGTCTTGCTGCTTGGCCAGTAGCGGAATTCTTAAGCCGGGTTTCGTCGATATTCTCGTATAAACTTCTTTGGTGGCATTTCCTTCAGAAGGGTTATACGCAAGTTTAGAACAGACCCTGTTGGCGATCATTCGTCGGACAAGATATTTCCTAGCCTAGGATTTATCGATGTCTTCGAATAATCGCCAGATAGGATTATTCGAAAACCTGGAGCATACTATGCCAGCGAAAATTCGCTAGAGGCGTTTGCTCGAAATTCTCGGAAAATCCCCGCCATCGAGTCTTCCTACATTGGGATTCGTCGTCTTTCTCGAGCGGACTTTATTGGCAAAGTTTCCGAGACGATGATTATTCGACGACTTCGGCTAGCCGCTAATTCGGGTCCCAATTTTGCCTTACACGGCCTTGAACTGGGCTTACATCTAGATCAGAGGCGCACGTGTCAGACAGAGCACATGAACTGGGACGGAGAAGCTGGCTCACTGGGTTGGTGTCTGATCTGCATACAGGCCAATGGGCCAGATTAGCTCAGGAACCGCTGCGCTAAATTTGGCGGCATGACTTTAGTGGATGGCGTCACAAGGACATGCCAAATTTATCCACAGGGGACCTGTTTTGGTCCCCTAGAACTTGGCTCTTTTTTCTCCCTGTTTGTAGTAGGCGAATTGCCCTGCACGCGTAGCCAAGACCTGCCTGCCCTTGCACAGGGAGGAATGCACGCTCACTTCACGGCGCGTCTGCGGATGCACCTTTTGCGCCCTCCAAGTCATGGGTGCTGTTTCGGGAGCTATGTTATACTTGAGCAGCTAAACTTCAGGCGCTTGCTTATCTAAATATGAGGTTCCAATTTGTCGCATCTAACACGAGACTCTTTGGGCCACGGAATTGACCGTCAAACCGGCTGCAACACAACAGGCCTCAGTTTTGGGACCTTGCAATATGCCAGGCCAGGTTATGAGATAATACATTGTGTACTGGACCAGTTTTTAGGATATCTCATAATATCACAGCACAGATGTTAGGACAGTACAATAGTTCGGGCCGCAAGTCAATGCAAAACGATGGTTCTTCAATACTAATGGCTTACTAGAGGGTGTGATTTTCTTTCCAATAAAAACCAGGGGAGACCCGGCTGAATGTACACTGCTTGTTATCATCATTTAGCGACTAAGGACTGGATTAAACCGACCGCCGAAGTAGCAGGGTTATCCTTAGAGATTGCATTCAGGCGTCAAGTAGGAATGGACCGTCACGGATGTACTAGTAGGGGAGAACTGTCGATTCGGTAGTGGATGACGTACCCGTCATGGGTGGACTAGTAGGAGAAAGCCGTTGGAACGGTTGGGATGGTGTACTGGTCGAACAGGGTCAGTTTGCGGCCCTTTATATCCTGGTCGAAGTGTATGGCGGTATGAATCGACCAGTCGAGTAGTTAGCCAGGACCAGTATAGAGGATATACTAGTCTACTTGATTCCATGGACTAGTATGGGGAAATGGATCATTCCGATGCGACTGGTACAAAATCTGTATTACTCCACCTCGAGCCGTACAAATGGTAGTCTGGTTAGAACCGGGGGGGATACTGATATGATTATCCTGGTATAAACAACAGCCTAGTACAAAAAAGACATTGTACGAGTATATCCTACTACCAATACAACTAAGTCAGTACATCCTAATTATTTTAAGGCATCCTTCAGTCACATGCCTCAAACTTCGCGAATCAGGATCTCGACCAAGAGCTTTTCCCTCCCATTTGTATGTTAACAGAATCGCCAAAATCAGCGCAGAGGATGTGCAAGTTAACCACTTTCAGCTTAAGCTCATAATTTCAGGGCGAGAAGCAGCTCTTGGTCAGGCATCGAGATTTAGGCCTGCTTGTCGGTGTCCGGCACGAAGAGTGGCGTTTGGTGGGCCTCCCGCATCATCATGGGCTTCAACAATTGCAGCATGGAGGCAGGAGTACACTTGTTTTGCGACATACTTGTCTTCTCATCTGCTTCATACTCTCTTCTTCTTCCCTCACTGTTGATCTATTATTGTATCATGCCGCGTATTAATTCCTGGAGGTGGTCTATGTACCCCCAGTTGCATAGAAAAGTATCGCGCCTACTTTCTAAGGACAACCTCCGCTTCCGATTTCACAATGTCGACGATGACAGCACATGCATCAAATCATATGACACAAACGTGATGGGCAGGTTCGTTTGTAATAACCGCAAATGTGCAACCAATGGTTGGTCGAGCAAGAAGATTGCTATTACGATTCGAATGTACGACAACAAGCGATACAATGCCAGAGTTTACAACCAGCATTGCAAAGCATGTAATAGCACCAGTCAACCCTTTCTAGATGAGAAATCATACGCGGATCGGGTAGCATATCGCATCAAGAAATGGAGTGGAATAAAGCTGGACCCGCCTCATTACTCGGGAGAGTTTACTGGTGAACATGAGAGGGACCTATGCGAGGGATGCAAGGCTGGCCATTGCGATCTAGGATAGCTGAGAGCCTAGATTCAATGTCTCGTGAGCTTTTGCAGAGGGAGAGAGGCACATGGCAGGAATGTATTTAAGATTGTAAGCTCGTTGTTGAGGAACTTTAATGGATATGGCATAATGGCAGGCTTAGGAGCTTAATTGCCTGGGATGCGCGGTAGCTCATTGTATCGTAGGTCAACTTTGAGGATAGCGTATGATGTCACCACAGAGAAGTTGAGACAGTATGTCGAATCATACACACAGTAGCTGCTCGTCTAGCACGTTTAGTATCATGTTACATTCACTATCACAGTACGTTTTGGCATGTCGGACACGCTCATTTAAAGTCAAGCATCAAGCCTCGTCTGCCAGACTCGCCTAAAAAGATTGTACTTGACCGACAAAACATCATTCTCATGCTTCCTTAGCGCCGTCATGCTCTTTATCTTGTGTTTGCTTCGTCAGGATAAGTTTGAACCGTCTCGCGTCTCTAAAAGCGTTCGGCCGAGATGCTGATACACTATCTTTGCTTTGCTGATCTAGGTTGGCTTGTTCCTGTCCGAGTACAGTGGCGGAAACTGGCTTTTCAGGTGAACATGAGCGTTTTGTGTGGCGCTCAAAATCTTACTACAGTTCATCTTCAGACGTTTCCTCGTATCGTAAAGCAAAAGGAACGTTGGTTGCATCGTAGCTCTTGGTGTCAAGTGTATCGCCCTGCGGCATCCGTCTTGTCACCTTACTTGGTATGCCCGTAGCTTCAATGCCCGCTACCTTCCCGTTAGCTTCTGCAATCGCCTCGTCTCGTCGTTTCTTTGCCCAGTCCCTGCCGTTCCGACATGCAGTAGCTCCCTGTCGAAATGTTTCAAGGTCACTTGTCAGAGACCAGCCTTTGATCTGCGTCATGGCATAACCAGGAGGCGCTTCCGGCGTCGATGGTTCAAGCACATGACTGGCATACGCTTTTAAAGTGCCTCCGTGATATGTCCATGTGAGAGCATAAGCTTTATTGTCATAATGCGGCTCTGTAGCGCCGTAAGACAGAAGGCTCTGGAAGCCCCGAGTGCCCAGAGTTACATCGTACAGTGCCTGGCGAGTTGCCACGGACAACGATCCATCCGGTCCTTTCACTTCGACAAAGTTATTTGGAAGGACAGGAAGATCATCCTGTGTCGAGGGAACAATATGATTGTCGAGTGCTCGGCGTACTTCTTTATGTAACTGTTCGGGTCGGGCTCCGTGGTAGAGATCAGGCTTGGCACAGACAAGTGATCCATCCGTCAAGTGATCGAGATTGGTGAAAGGTATGTCGCTGGCGATGCACCTAGTATCCCCAGGGTCGCCTTCTATAATGGGTATTACAGACGCCGTGACACGGCTCTCCTTTGTCGCATGATCATCAGCACGCTTGAACCTTTTAAAATCGTCTTTCGAAAACCGGCTCGGAGATAGCGATGCTCGAGGTCGTTCTAGCGCTTGTCGGATCTCATCTATATTATCGGGTTCGGAGGGTTCGTGACCATCGGGATACTCATAGCCGGGGGGCAAGATGTTATGATCGATCAAGTGTTGTTGAAAAGCACGATCGTATGGCCCCGTATTCTCGTCGTCGTCGTATTTGTAGTAGTGGTGCTCTTGTCTGGGGAGCGTGGGCCTCGTCCCAGAAAGCTGAGAGTTGGGTAGCACAACCATCCTCGCCAGTTTGGGGCGCTTGACGGGTAGCTGCAGAGTGCAATACTTATGTTAGAGGGTTAGAATTACTCTGAAGCTCACTTGGTTAGGGACATTGCAAATAAGCGGGCTCTTATCGATAAGTCACGAATGAGTACACTGTGGACGAATCGTTTCAGGGGAGCCCAATTCGTCTCGTGTCAAAGGGCGCAGAGCACCATTCACCGAAAGCAAATCAAACTACAGCGTGAATGTGTGATCTCAAACACGCGTGTTAAGAAATAGATTTGGCAAGACGGAGGGAGCCCAAGAAACCAAAGTTCGCCATTTAGCAGTAGACCCACTCTAGCCTGAGGCCCATTACGTTAACACGAGGTCTCTTCTGGTGATTCGTTGTCTAGTACCTCCAATGTATTGATCTTCACGCAGTAGCCTTGCTTCTCTATGTAATGGCTTTGATCACATATTTTTTCCCTCGCAAGAAAACACAACATAATTCCGTCGTACATCTTGCAAAGGGAAATGAACGACCCCGCCGAGGGGGGCAATGCAACCAACTGTTGGTTCTTCTTAAGACTAACCAATTCTGCGGTTTTAGAACCAACAGTTCTCGGTCCTCATGTCCGAAATTGGAACCAGCCTCTAGAGTAATTCACGTTATTTAAATGAGGTTGGAAAGACTTTTCTGCCAAGAATCTCACAACCTTCCAGCAAAAGACGCAGCATCACAATGGGGACAACGACGCAGCAAGTTGAACGAACCGCCAGAGCGCATCAGGACCAGGTGATGGTCGACATGATAAGGCATCTACGACACGTAACCCCTCCTCGCCCCCGGCGCCTATTTCCTCTGTCAATTCCGACCACGGTCGACTCGCTCTGCCCGTTCGCGTCGTTCTGCTTCTTCTGTTCGTCTTGCTCGATCTAGGCGTCCCCGTTCTTCTACTCTACCCACGAATCATTCCAGTGGTAGACCCTCGAAGGACGATTTGTTCTGGCCCCCATCACAAGTTACCAATGTGCAACTCTCTAATCCCGCAACGCGCATCATTATGAATACAACAGAAGCGACAATTGTCTCGTGTGTTGTTGTTAATGGGGGGACAATGTATTACTTTGGAGCACCTTCTTCCCGCAAGAGCCGGGTACGACGATTAAAAATTAGGAAGAATCGGGGAGGGAGTTTATTTCCCTTCAGACGATGATATGGCAGTGCATGTTACTAAAGGATTATGGTATAGATGTTTCCTGGTTTGTATCTGCGATCGGTGAAGAAACATCAGGCCGTCTCTAGTGCTAGCGCAAAGCAAGAAATTTATTTCGATTTATTATTGATACAGCATCCCATCCATGGTGATGGCAGATGAAGCGGCGCAAATGTCGACGGATTGCTGTGGTAGCTAGTTTCGAGCCTCAGTCAATAGCAGGGAGCATGATATCCTCGGATTGCTAACACCAGCCATTCAGAATAGGCTCTTTTATGATAGATCGAGGAAGGAGAGGCAGCCATGAAGATTAGAAAATCACAGACAGCACCTCCAAACAAGGCAGCAAAGCAAGCAGTAGAACACAACAGCAAATAGAAGGCATTGAAACATTCCCTGCTACCAAACCTATTAGAGAATAGCTACTTGGGACTTAACTTGAATTAGGGGATCGAAGGGTCGAAGCCATCCAGCTCATGGTGGCTCTGTGCGACAAACGCGAGACGGTCAAGCGCCATCACATCCAGCAAAATGCCAGGGCTCGACCGAACATCTAAACCAAACCTACCAAAGCAGACAGTGAGCTTGAACCTAACCTCAAAGAATTCCCTCTCCTCGTGCAAGCCAGCCAATGCCCAGATTGCATTGGCGATGAGCGGCTCTCCCGGGAGGAACGCACCTTTGCTTACTGCAGTCTAACCGTTAGGAACGACCATTTCGATGACCAACAGTTAGTCGAGCGCGAGAGGGCGTTGCAGCGTAGTGAGAAGATGATGTGTACATATCGTGCTTATCGAGCTGAGAACCAAGATTAAAGCCTCGAATTTCGCAATATGGATCACTTTCGGGTCCATGCTCAAAGTGTTCATCGCGTGACGCTACGATCGCCTTTCCAAGTGGAACAAAGACGGTTGCTCAAGGTTAGGCGTCGCATGACCAGGGTACAGTCGGCTAGGAAGTAGAAAGAGATCTTTCAACGTATCGACCTTCAGGTCATGGCCGTATCGTATTGTATCGTATCCGATCGCGGTGTTTGGGTTCGGGTCATCGCCTCACATGTCTTAGGTGTACGTAGTGATTCGCTTTTGTGAAGAACATTATTGGTAATGACGTAAATGTCGAGGGGAATGAGGTGTAGTCGTCTGCTGTTTCTTGTCGTTGCCTAAGTCGTGAATGTATCGAGTGGCTTCCTTGGCGATATATTCCTGAATCTGGTGACAGTTACAGTCGGTGTGTTGCAACAGTTTCACCCTGAGTTCGTAGGCCTGTTGAGTGAGGTCGGATACAGAGCTCAACAGCTTGCGGTTGATCTGCTCCATATTCTTCTCGTTAGCCTGAAGCTTCTTTGCGTCCTCGCGCTTCTTGACACGGAACTTGTGGGAGGCGATTCGATTTCTCTCCTTAAACTTTTTGCTATACTCGTCGAGTTCGTCGTCTGACTGGGGAGAGGACTCTTCTGTAGGTTGAGAAGCTGGCTTGGGTTTGCTTCTGCGACCCTTGAGCTTTGCGTGGGTAGCTTGTTTGATTGCCTTTGTTGGGGTATGTCTCGATGGCAGGGTAGCGGTTGGTTTGGCGGTGCTCCGCTTGCGTTTTTGCTTGTCGGACTCTGTTGGTGAGGAACTGCGACGGCTCTCGGTGTCACCAACAGGAATCTCTATGCTGTTAGGGTCGGTGACTGGTGATAGAAAAGGATAGCTGTGGGTGAAGGAAACAGGAGAGTCCCACCGCGTAGAGATTTCTGGATCGTAGGTGTTGTTGTACTGGGGCTCTTGTCGTGCGAAGACATGGGGGGGGGGGTCATGTTGATTGCTTCGGCAAAGGAAGCATCTTCAGTAGGAGACCACCATTGTCCCCAATGAGATTGATATAGCGCACCATAGGTATTCATGCCGGAAGGGTCTTTACACATGAAATTCACGTCAGGCGCGGGTGGGTAGGCATCGTAGGCTTGCATATCGTCGCCGAGAGGGTCTTGTTGGTAGGCAGGGTGGACGGTATCCATCTCTGGTAGCGTTGTAACGGTCGACGTGTCCGAGTCAGCGTCGTGGTATGAACCTCGACGGTTGAACTGGAGAAGGGATTTGGATGATGCTAGGAAGGGAGCTTGGACACAGTGGGATTCAATGCGAACAGAGAGCAAATGGGTTAGAAATCAAGAGGGCACAAAAAATAAAATACAAGGGGGATTTGGTCAAGGGAGCGTTTTGGTTGGTTGGGGGGGGCCAAGCGAGGCAACAAGCAGGTCTCAGAGGCGGAGTGGCGAATGCGTAACAATGCAGTGTTGTAATTGCCAAGAAACATGGCTAAACAGTACAGTAATCCCGGATGGGAAAAAGCAAACGCCATGGGACGGAATGAGCTTGAACCAACGGATGGCTGACTGCAACCAACCAAACAGACAGGGTTATTGATAAGGAAAAGTGGACGAAGCCCACGCAATGATAGCTTTAGTGGCATTTACCCTTAGAAAAATGTGTTACCAAACAACATATCCTCACGACAAATCATAGCCAACCATTCCATATCAGGCTCCGAGAGTGTGTATTGATTGGTAAACTTGGAGTGGAACAGCGCATCCCTGTTGCTATGTGCGTGTGGCACGTGCCATGGTAGAGAGTAGAGGAGGGGGGGGGTTGGAGAATCGCAGGTGTGCAGGTAGGTCTGATACTTGGAAGCTAGTTAGGGGTAGCCTGTTAGGTCCTAAATACCTCGTATTTCCTTTGAAGACATACCAGAAAAAGCAAAAAGGCTGGGGAAGAGGATGTCAACTATACTGGGGTGGCTCAGACCAGGTCGTAGATTATCGCAATTCCACTGTCAATGGAGTGTATATGGAGCTAATGTCAACGGAATGCCAGTTGAACTTTGTCCAACATGTTGCCGTACCTGACCGACTAGCACAGCGGCCCGGACTAGATGCCGGCGCTCCCGATAGTGGAGAACTGTGGATTCTACTGCACGGAAACAGGGCTGGCTGGGGTCACGGTGAGGGGCATCGAGGAGGAAGGGGAGTAATGTCGATGGTATTGTACGGCGTTGAGTGGTTGGGATTTGATGCGGGCCTCCACCATCTCTCACGCTCACCCTTGACGCTCCAAGAAAAAAAGTGACAGAAAAGAGAGTTGGAGAACCTGCAATCAGTGAGCGTAATCCTTGTTAATGAACCTTGTCTCAGCAGTTATGTAAAGGGTGGCTAGAATTGAGTATAAAAAACCAAACTATTTCTGAGATGAGACGAGTCAAATTGTCGGGAGAGTTCGGTTGTATTGGACGTTTACTTGTTTTCAACAGCCTAGTATTGCCGAGCCGTCTCAAGCAACTACACACTTCAACTCGTACAATCGAGATGATCTTCGAGTGTTGTCTCTCCCTTCGCATACTGTCTCTCCCTTCACATGCTGTCTCTCCCTTCACATGCTGTCTCTCCCTTCACATGCTGTTTCTCTACCTTTGCCCCTGTTCAGTCTCTATGTTCTATAACCAACTGGAGGATAGGGATGGTTAGGGGCGGGTTAGCGCTCGGCCTCACCCTTTAGTTGCTGAGCTCTGCCCAATCAGATTGTTCTTGCTTATTCCTACCTAAAATTCTTGCAAGCGTGTATGAATTAGTATAACATGAGAAGTGATTGAATGTTGGTTGATAGCTGAATGATGTCCTTGGCCCAACAGTCTCGGCTATGCCCAGAACTGGAAAAGTTGGCTCCTCTCGTGGTTACCGGCCATTGCCCACCTGTGATCTCTTTTCCCTCAATCGCTTATGATCTTCTCATACAAATTCGCTAAGAGGAGTTGACAGTTTGTCAGTATGTCTGAGCGCCACTAATCCAAAAGAGAAAAAAAACTAATAAAAAAAACTCATTCTTAGCCCTATCTCGAGAAGACTTCCTGAGCAGGAGGACATAAAAGCTAATCAATATGGCCTAAAGGTCCGTTCGCATTTACCAAGGCCTGTCGTATATTGTAAAATAACACAAGTCCTAAAATACTGGTCATAACCCCTTGCTTCGCCGCCCCACCACCGAGCACGCCCCTCAACTACGTTGCTCCCGGCCACTCCATTGCTGGCTTTTTCTCTGGATGAGAGGGAGGAAAGTCAGTCTCCGAAGGTGTGGAAGGCTGGCCATAATTCAGAAGTTTGGATATTGTTTCCAGAGATGCAGAAAATGAAAATGAAAATGACGGTGACGTCTTGCTTTGGATTAAACAGTTTTGCCCCTGGAAGAACCACAATGGAGAGAATTAGGTGATCATGGTACATCTCTAATTTTGTCTTCCTGTCGTTCCATGGATCTGCCTCCATTCCTCATTGCAATTGAGTTGTTCAAAGGCCATGGCCATGGGATATGGCTCGTTACTAACGGTGTAGTTCCAGCCGTTGTAGGCAAAGGGATCGTTGACTGGGGGAGGGTCCATTGGGATTTGTAGTATTGTAGAGCCAGCCGTTTCTAACGACACTCTTGTGTTAGCGGTGGTGAATGGGATTATTCTTTCCCTCAATACCAGGGGCGTAGGCCCTCTTGCTGATGCGTGCGTGGATGATTCGGCTCTCGTGTCTGAAGCAGGTTCGCTCGTAGTCGAGTCACCAAGATGGCGGCGAATAGTCGAGCCTAGCGAATCGAGCACCCATAATAAATTATCCCTTTCCTTTGTGACTTGGTCCAGCTGATCCATCAATGAGGCTATCTGCGCCTTGGAGTCGTTTTTTCGTAGACTTTCAACCATGCTCTCGAGCTGCGCAATGCGACTCTTTGTCCTCTCACGCGACCGCTTCTGGCACTTGCGATCCATTTCCCGCTTCTTGAGCCGGCGACTCTGCTCGGTATCATTATACATGGTGATCAACAAGTCGGGGTCGTGTCACGGAACGAAGAGGCAGAAAAAATGGTTCCAAGTGTAGATCCTGAGGGAAGGCCTTTCAAAACGAACTTCGACGTTAGGTGGAGCTGATCCTTTGCGTTCCTCAGTGACTGTCCAGTGGCGACCGAATGTCGTTAAGCTCTCTCTAAATTGCAGTCTTCATAGACGCAGTAAAGAATGCGGCCGCTTGCTAGATCAACGACATCCGCTGAGGAAATGCCAAAATAATCAGGTAAGGCGCTCACATACTTCTCTAAAGGAGTTTGTCTCTGGCAAATCACACCCTCAGATTGGTATGAGGCGGCTAATCACATTTTTGTGTTCTCCGCATTCCACTTCAGCTGCATTACATGTATTGCAGTGAGTGAATATCTTTTGTCTCGAATTACGTCCCTTTCAACTCAACTGTAGATTAATCTGTCATTGAAAAACGCAATCAAGACCTTGGCGCGGAAACAAAACCATCCGTGAAACACGGCAGGGTTCCTACCCCACTTCGTCAACATTTTATCACAACAGGGGACCCAAACCGGATTTTTATTTGCTCAATGTGTCACCTGCCTTTTTTTTTCTTTGCTTTTCTCTTTGAACCCCCCTTTCGGTGAAGCGAAGAGAGACGACACTGCCAACAAGATCACAGCCAAAGTTAAGGTGTCCTATAAAGTGCTAGGAGCTCTTCAGGTTTCAGTCACCTAGTCATCACCCTTCGAGCTTTACATTTTTTTCTTTCATAGTTTATGCTTTATTCTTGGTGGGTCCGTAGCATTCCCCCCCCCATTATTGCTTCAGCATGTCATACGTGACAACCCTTCCCCACAAGCCCATTGCAACGGGCTCCAAAAGCCATGTAGGCAGGATAGCCTGCGAAAACCATCCGAAGTTGATCGCGTGTGACTTTGACTTGGTGAATATTTCTTTCATCCTTAACTCCATATGTACCTGACATGGGTTATAGATTCGGGTAGCCTCCCAGGGCCTTGCATGCATGACTGATGATCTTATCAATCGTTGTGCTCCGATATCTAGTACAGAAATTCTCGAAACCTTAGATCAAATGGAGCTTCTTCTAGGCTTGATTCGGCATGGCATAGGAAGTTAGCTCTAGCGAACCGGGAATTGGAAAATACCTCCCAAAATAGACATGGCACAAGTTGACGCTTCTTTATTCGGATTCTATGCTATTTCTGACTGGTGCCCTTGACCATGTTATTATTTCGCCGTCGTCCAACGGCAACTAAGTCCTGAAACAGACTCGTAACTCGGGCCGTTGCTCAAAAAGCAGTTAAATCTAATGTTTCCGGAAGACAAGGGTATCAATCCCATCATTATCGAGGTTTAGGTGCCTGGACAAAAGCTCTGGAGAATGTTGTCGAAGTATTAAAGAGTCGAAGTCAGGGAGCATACCATCGACCTCCTTTTGTTTCGATATTCGAATAATAATGTGTTACATAGCCCGACAAGCTCCCCCCAAGGGAGCCAGAGGAGGGTTTGGAAAACGAAGTAAAGACGTCATAATCATCTAGAACGGGTGATTCAACGATGTTGCAGACGATGCTCGGGGGGTGCAGAACGTTCTTCAAACGGAGGGTGCCATGGGAGCGTAAACCGGTTCTGGCTGGGGAGGTTTTCGTGGGAAGAGCGACCGTACCTATGCCGATAACTTTAATCGGAGTTCCAGTCGTGCTGTCAATAGCAGAATTGAGGGGGACGTAATCGTCACTTAACCAAGAACGGTCTTTAGCGACGCTGGTCTTGTTTGAAGGCCGATCTTGCATCGCCAGCCACGGATACTGTACCATGAGCGCTTTAGTGCCCGAGGTTAGCTCTAATTTGGGACTTGAGCGCCAGGGTGTTATCGGTAAAGAACTTCAGGCTGACCAAACCTGATTCATGATGAAGAAGGGGTCAGCCGCTAATGGTCAATGATGGTCAATGATTCGGGGTAATGCGGAGGAGGTCATCGAGTAGACACGGATGAACTCCTTGATGAGCACGCAATGATTGACACACTCTTTTCTGGTTGGGGTTTTAATGAAACCACCAATAATGCCACCTTCTCAGCAACCCCACGACCACTACTTCCCTGTACACCCTCACAACCCCCACAGCCACCACAGCCACATTCTCTTAGCGCACCTTGTCCCATAGCTCTTCTAGATGAACCCGCTTTTGTTCAGTACTGATCTCCTTATCAGATTCCCCAACCTTCATCATAAATTCTGCAGCGTTGATGACTCCCGAGGGATACTAGGGAGCCAGTTGTAGACGTGGTGGCGAGATACGCAGGTCTTTGGTCGTTTTAATCGATTAGTCGTTCGGTAGTAATTGGACGGCACGATAGGTATTCATGGATCTGGAACCGAACGCCTGAAGCAACGTTGTCATAGTGGGCGTTTTTGGACGATCAGCAGGTTTGCAAAGGCACTTACAAAGCGTAAAGTGGCCTTTTCCATGAGGTGCCAAGTCTTGGCTTAAGGCAGAAAAATGGTCTGGTCCCGGTACATCCGCTCTGACATTATTAAGGTGCTTAGGCTGTCCAATTAATCGTTAAAGAATTTTCTATAATTAGGTACACTCGAATCGACGCGGCCACTTTGATCACTTGCGCAATTGTGTTTCCACTAATCGAAGAGCATAATACAAGAAACAGGAGAGCAAAGCCGGTTTCTAGATGTCTGATGAAGCAACCACAACAGAGGACGACGATATTGGCCCAGTAACCGCCGCAAGCTTGGGGGTATGATCTAATAAGATCTAGCGAGTAGATGTAAGGTTTTTGGCATAACGCTATGACCTTGTACCTGGCATCGAGAGATCCTTAAACGAGAAACAAAAAACGGCACTAACTTGCTCCCAGGAACATAGTTCATCAAACACGTAAACAGCATTACTTTCTTCCTAGGAACAACAGAGGCACTAATTGTGTAAACAGTATCGATTTGTTCCCAGGAATGTTAAGCAACACTGAAAGTAGTTATTACTTGTTCCTGGGAGCTGCGCAATACTGAAAGCAGTTACTACTTGTTCCTGGGAGCCACCAAACATGTAAACAGCATCAATTCGTTTCCAGGAACAATACAAGGGTTGTCAAACAAGTAAACAGCAATGTCTTGGTCCTGGGAACAGCCCAAGGTCTTGTGAAACATGTAACAGCATCGAATTATTCCCAGGAACATAATGAGTCACCAAATACGTAAACAACATTAATTTGTGCCCAGGAACAAGACATTAATTAAGAAAACAGAATCAATTGCTCTGTTTCTTGGAACATAAGCCCACTAACAGAGGATACAGCTCTTGTTTGTAGTAGAATATGAATGTTTTACTGGCATACTAACTACTACTGCGGAACAGGCACGCTAAAATTAGTGAATCAACCGCTAAATTTATCAGAGGCGCCTGATGGGTCAGCCGAAGACAGCGCACCACGTACAATGGCTTTGGATGGTAAGCGCGTCATCAACAATACTTCCAGACATTGACAGCGACAAACGTCGCCAGCTTTCTGTGACCCGCATATGACACATTCACCGCTTAGATTTCTAAGCATCATCGTATTGGGAATGCAAAGTTCCATCTAAGATGAAGCATGATATATGCGCTATTCTTTTTTAAGCTCTGCCTCGGAGCCTCCCCGGGCTCTGATGATGGGTTCCTTACTACTATTACTTACTGGCCCTTCTAGACTACTTTCCTGCCGCAGCTCCCGTTCCTTCACTGAACTTTGACTGTTCCTATGGCGTGCAACATCCTCAGCTGTCACGAGCACAGGTAACGGGAAGCTTTCATTCTGCCATACTTTGTTAGCTACAGTAAGTATATTATATCAGTAACACCGACTTTTTCCTCGTCAGATAGCGGTAACGCTTTATTAGTAGACTTAAATTCATACTTTTCGCCTTTACGGCGTATGCAAACATATACTTCGGCGTTATAAACCTGGTGGATAATGAGGCCGTTATTCTTGAGTGTGCTCCATTTCTTCTTGAAGTTCTCATTACTCCGATCTCTCTTTCTCACGCAGGTGTTCTCAACGACTGCCATTGTGATCGCGGAGACAGGAAATTGGCAAAGTAATTAGCTGGAGACAGGATACATATAGCAAACCTTCTCTGGCCCATTTTCAGCAACCGCAGAGGTGATATTTTTGCTTTCGAGTTTTGTGTATTTAGGAAGCTGTTTTTGGTTCCCCTGCGATGTTGCTGGCCAGCTATCTGTTTCTTGTTTTAGGGTAGATGCACGCCCCGCCAGAGGAGTGCATTTCGAAAACATGAGAAACTGACACTATAATCGGGTTCATAGCTAAGTACACACCATCTGGGCGCTATATATAGGTCAACTTTGTAAAAAGGACTGGTTTTGGCTCCTCGTTCTGCTTAACGACATGGAAGCCATTTTTAGCTTGTTGTTGTCCCATGTTGTGCATCTTGAAACAAGGCGCAGCTATGACAAGCCTTGCCAAGAGGCCGTGGATAGTAACAAGGCGATACGGACCTTGGTACTCAACCTGAGAAGCACGAAACGATGCGCACAAACCAACATAAATTTTTTTTTTTTTTTTTAAAAAAATTTTTTAAAAAAAAAAAAAAAAAAAACCTAAAAAAATTAAAACTAGAACTAATACTATGCGACGTAGTAATATAGAAG